ACAAGAAAATGCATTTCATGGCATATGTGCAATTTAGCCCCTACATTATTAAGTGGCTTCTTTGAAATAGAAGCCCTGCCTGTAACCACTAGGCCAGACATTCCTGGAGACGGTGGTGTCCCCAGGCAGTGGCCATCAAAAACACCTGGTACCTCTTCCGTCTCCCTTTCTTACAAGTCCTGCCCTAAAATCTGTAGGTTCCTGGTGAAACACTCCAGTATCAGCTTTCTCCTTCATCACCACTGGCATTACTGAGCATCATCCAGAACTGTCATTAGTCACCTTCTGTATACAGGCACTGTGATGTAAGAAAGTACAAAAAGTAGGACCTGCCTGGAGGGTTGGTTGCAAATATGTCTGTATAAAATATACACCCCACATATTTAATATATATTTTGTTAAAAACATGTTCATGTTTTTTACATATGTATTTTGCAAATATATGGTCACGGAGGATATGCTAGGTGTCAAAAAAGGTGCTATAAATACTATGCCAAGTGTTATTTAGATGCAGCTGGGGCATCAGAAAAACTCTCAAGGAAGACCTCATCTTTTAAAAAGGTAAGGTGCAGAGAGACATCTGGGTGTAACGTGACCCCTATGTGACACAGCGTGGAGAACACATTGCCTGGAATGTATTCTAGTCATAATTCTTAATTTATCAAGGCCTTAGGATTAACTTCCAGTTTACAGGAAATAGAGGCTAGAGAAATAAGATCAATGAAACACCATGAGCACTGACCAGATGAATCCATAACACAGGACATTCTGCAGAATAAGGGGCTAGGTTCCTCTTGAGCAGTTGGGGAAAGAAAAAAGGGCTTTTTTTTTTTTTTTTTAATGCTAGTATTTTTCCTTTGGCAAAAAGAGAAGTGAGGATATGGTCGCCGCAAACACTGACTGTTGCTGGAGTGGATTCTGGTTTGGATAATCAGCTGCAAAGGCCATTTCGGAAACAAAGAGGTGGAGGACTGCCAGGGTAGGAAAGGGCAGGGGTGTGAGGAGTGACGAGCAGGGGTGGGCAGGGGGGGTGGGGCACGGAAGGCAGGGCGAAGGATGAAGTTGGGGGTGGGGATAGGACAGAACAAGAGGAATGCCGGGCGAGGCAGGGCGAGAGAGACGGTGGCAGTGGCAGCAGCCTCAGGGGCCAGTAGTGGCAGCAGCAATTCTGCAGGCCCAGAGGCCTTGTGAGAAATCAGCCTCCTTGCTGGGTTTTCAGTGCTGGGCAGCCTCAATCTCACCCCGAACTCCTGGCTCTCACCCACCTCCTCTGCAACAGCCGGCTCAGCTGGGGGTCTCTGCTCCTGGTCTTCCCCATCCTCTAGAAATAGAGAACCTGGCCTGCATCTCACTGGCTGACATGTTCCTGAGCCTGTCTGCTCTGCTACGTGTCCCCTGGACTCATTCTTGCTTCCCATCAGGTCCTGCCACTTCCCCAGAGTGACCTTGGAGTCCTCCTCTCCCACCTGGAAAGCCGCCAAGGTCCCGCCAGGGCCCACGTCTTTCCTCCTCCATCCCGCCCACCGCATGGGTCCTTTGTCTGTCGACTCCCTTCTTTCTTCCTGCTACCTTCTTGATGTTACTAGCCAGTAACCTTGACAGTGACATAATGTCCCCGTGCCTCAGTTTCCACAGCTGTAATACAGGCATAACAACAGTACCTACTCCACTTAGGTATTGTGAGGATGAAGTCAGCAATAAGTTTGAATTGCTGAGAGCAGCACTCACACAAAGCAACAGCTAAGTATCCATGGTCATCACTATGTCCCTCCTCTCCTCTGCCCCAAGCTTGCCAGAGCCCATGGGCAGAGCCTCCTCCAGCCCAAGACACTCGGTCATTCTGAGGTTTAATGAGTGACCGAGGGAGAGGAGTCCTGGACACGATGAGCAGGATCCCAAACTTGAGGACTGTCTGAATCTTTCTCCGTCCTGGGGTGGGAGGCAAAGGGAGGGAGTGATGCTCCAGAACAGAAGCTCTGGAGTCTACTCTGGGTAATTCAGGCTGAAACATCACCTGGATTATGGGACAAAGTTCTCGTGAGTTTTATGACTCTGTGGAAAATATTTTGGAGTAAAAATCTCTATTTAAGAGTCATGGCTGGTGCCTTTCCAGATGGCAAGCAGCTTAAAGATGTGTTTCTAGCTCTGCCAGATTTATTTGTCAGGACACTAATTATCTCATTAGAAATAGGTTCCTCTTATGATTATGATTAGCTTGCCATCTTTTGTTTTGTTTTTTGATCCTGGGAAAAGAACACAGACTTATAACATCCCTGGCCAACAGAAACCTTGGACTTTTCCAGAGCAGAAACGCCCTAACCCAGTAAGCATTGCTCCCAGTCACCGTCTCCCTCCCAACAGACATAGACAGGGTGAAATCGTGTTGAAAATCAGAGTGGGTTTCAATTCATTTTGTTCTGAGTATTTTGCAGCCCTCCCTGACATAGCTACGGACAGCTCTGGTGGAGCTCTAAGATATGGGCTGCTTCTAGGGAGATGCCTGGCCCCGCAGAGGACTTCACGGCTGCGCTTGCCAGGGGAAATTTCACGTTCTGCCTTCAGGGCAGGAAGAATGAATTTAACGTGGCTAAAGCCAAGGGAGGCTATAACAGTATTTCAAACACTCAAGTCCAATCTGAAGAAAAAGCTGTCTAAGTTGTCTGTGTTTCTGGACACCAGGTTGAAGAGTGGGGTGACGGGGAGGAGGCGGCTAACTCAGCCTTGATGGCTAAACCATAATGGTGGACAACAGTAAATGGCTGTGTGAACGTCCAGGTGTTCTTTCTTGGGGGTCTTAGGGCCTCTAACCTGCTGAGGCAGTGGGGTCAAAGAGAAAACCTCCCTTTTAATGCCCCGATCTTCCTAAGCAGGGAAGTAATTCTAAGTGGCCACCCGTGTATCCACTATCCCCAGCACCGCCCCACATACCTTCAACAACAAACCATCAGTTTCCTAGGGAGGAATGTAAAACTATGCGTGGCCACAGAGGGCATCTATGCGCACTGAGAGGGGATGAAAGGAGCCACTGTTGCCACAGCTCCAGATGGGCAGTGGGGTGTCCCTGCAGGAAACAGGGAGCCAAAGGGCCCCTCCCTGGCCTCCCCTGACACTGACAAGTCAGGCTATAAACATCTGCCCCAAGTTGGCCCCAAGCATGTATTGCCTCTGGTGTTTTATGATACATCTCAAACCAGACCGTGACAATCCCCAGCTTTGGGGAACTTGGCAGGTACTAATGGCGGCTTCCTTGTGTAGAGGGAGGTTACCCACCTTGCCACTGGGGCACAGAAGTGACCCTACATTATGTTTTAAAGACCTGTGTATTCTACAACTGCACTGACCAAATGCACACTGACTAGTGACACTAGCCACATATAGTTATTTAAACTTAAATTAATAAAATTAAATACATGTTAAAATTCAGTTCTTCAATCATAGTACCCTCATTTCAAGCGCTCGCTGCAGGCAGCTGGTGGCTGGCATACTGGACAACCCAGATGCAGAACAAACGCCTGTATCATCAAGGGCACTTCTAATGGACAGCCCTGCTTTGGATGTATTTTTTTTTTTTTTTTTTTNTTTTTTTGAGATGGAGTCTCGCTCTGTTGCCCAGGCTGGAATACAGTAGCGCGATCTCGGCTCACTGCAACCTCTGCTTCCCAGGTTCAAGCAATGCTCCTGCCTCAGCCTCCTGCGTAGCTGGGGTTACAGACACCTGCCGCCATGCCCAGCTAATTTTTTTTGTATTATTGGACAAGACAGGGTTTCAGCATATTAGCCAGGCTGGTCTTGAACTCCTGATCTTGTGATCTGCCCACTTTAGCCTCCCAAAGTGCTGGGATTACAGGCGTGAGCCACTGCGCTCAGCCTCTGGTTGTATTCTTAAGCCGGTCACCTTTCTGTGCCATTCATGCATTCAACAAATGGTTATGGACACTACACCATACAATGCCTGCTGCTACTATGATAACATATCAATATTTGGCAATGATACTTCGATCGACACTTGCATTCAAAATTAAGACCTCTGTGCTCTATCATGTTCTAAGGCTTAGATGGTTCAAGGTACGTTCATTTAGAACTCAGAATGGTCTCTATTCTCAGGATGCTTGCTGGCATTTGGGACTGCAAACAATGTGGAATCCAAACTCTGTTCATGACTCTGCTAATTCTTGAGAGAAAATGGCTCAACAACAAGACACGGTGCTGTTGATGCCACCTGCCAGGTTTTGCTGGGATTGACAAATTTGGTGTTATGTTTCACTTAGGAATCCTGCTGACTGACAGCCCTCAGGATGTGCACATGCTGCTGGCACATTGGTCCCACTCCCCAAATAGCCTCCCAGATTTGACACACCCTGGTGACTCAACTTGCTTTCTCGTTAACCTGAAGCCCTTTCTTTGTTTGACACATTTTCCCCCTGTGGGCAGACTTTCTGCCTTAGGAGAGCTGACATCAATAGTGCTATTCCATGCAGCAAACCACGAGAGACAACACATTACTGGGGAGGGGGTACGGGGTGCTGGGAGACCTGGGAACAGTGTGTGTCTCAGTGGAGCTTACAGAAACCAGGCTGTTCAATTTATTTCTCTGCTGTTAATTTCAAGGTGCTGCTACTGCTACTTCAAACTGTAATAGTGTCTACAAACAATTTGCACTTTGGAATGGCACAATCCCAGGGGGTAATTAACAAATCCGGGGAACAATCTTTTTAAAAGCCTTTAAAAGCAACAGACACTGGGGCCACCTTCGATGAAATAGAATCACTCCGCTTTCTCTGTCATTTCAGAAGATATCTGGCTGACTCCTAGAGAGGTTTAGAGAGCACAGGTCCTGGACTTTATGGAAAGTTCCTCAAGATGTGTTAATTAGAAATAAAATGCAGCATGGTTATCGGCTGCAGAGCTTTCTGAATGAAACAGGCTTTGAGAGGGTCTAAGATTTTGAGAGTTAGAAGCAGAGTTCACAAAGGGCCACCCAAGGACTATGAATTCCATACCATTCTCCATTCCAAGGTAGAAGACTGCGTTCACCAGCATGCCGCCTTTCCGGAAGTGATCGCTCATGTGCTCTAACCAGTTGGCATCCAAGCCGCTCACCGCCTGGCCATTCTTGGAGACACGGAGAGGAATGGTGACAGGGTAGTATTGCCGGCACTTCTGATGGCTCTTCGGTTTGTTGAAAAGGGCGAAGATCTCCATTTCTGTTGGGATTTGGAGAGGGAGGGGAGAGAGAAGAGGTCAACCATGATAAAAATCTGCTCCACAGGGTTTAGTGGATCTCTCAGGAGCCTGTATAAATGATATGATGAATGCTGAAATCTCTGTGAGGCTGTATTGTTGCCAGATAATAAAGCCTCATTCCAAGTAGTAAGTTGAAGCTGCCTTAAATTAACATGGACCTGAAAGGTTGGGCTTCTGATGGGCGACTCAGGTTTTTAATCTAGAATGTAATGAATAGCTGTTATCTGGGATTCATGCACACAGTTAGGTGTTTAAGAAAAGAACATAGGAGATGGTTATAGAAATTCATACAAAGATGTGTTTTGGAAATAAAAGCAGACATATCTGGGGGAGAGTGGTCTTTTAAAAAGTAAAGGTACAGCGACACATAAAAACAAAAATACTGCCCTAATTCCAGGAACCTTGTACACTCCTGAACTGACTATTTATAAACTGCAGTGGTGTTTCCTGGGGCCGAACTCATAATACTTAATCAAGTACATCAAAAATACATCATGGATATGTAAAAATAAATATGTTCCCGTAAATGAGAGTTCCTGCCTGCAGTAGCAGGTCGGTCCAGCCAAGGGGGCACTGGGAATGAGTGCTGAGCTTTCGGTTCCTTCCTGTATAGCTCAGTTCTTCAGCAATCAATAACCACTGCCACCCAGCAGCGGAGCCACGCCTGCCTACGTGCAGCCGGGCATGGGTTAGCAGTGGCAGCCTCCAGAAGCGAATACCTGGAATTTCAATCTAAGTCTGAAAGTCTATTTTTGTGCTCCTCATTTAGTCAAGTAATCGGTTGACCCAGCTTAAAAAGTCTTGCTTACACAGGCTAGTCAGGAATATGCTTTGGTTTCCAAAAATATCTTCTTAAATCATAAGAAAATCCCCACCCGTCTTTGAAACAAGAATTTAAAGGTCATAAACAATGGCTGACATTAGCAGGAAGGACAGAGCACATTCACGCCCCCTGCATGAGACACCTGGACCCACACTCTCTGATGCTGTTTCCCACATTTCAGTATCTCACAGTGTTTTGTGGTATCCAAGTTCTAGTTGATTTTTTTAATTGAATCACCTTCCTTTATTTAAACAAATAATTTAAAAAGAAAAAAAGGAAATAAAACTTTATTTCATGACAATGAAGGCAATCCACTACCACGTGCCAAAAACACGGGGTGATGACAAAGCACATTAACACCAAATATGTTCATCCATCTAACATATCTCACGTAGGTCACAAAGTCTTCTCACAGCCCCATCTGAGCAAGCACCAGCAGAGATCTCTAGGGACCAACGCTGGGCCATATTACTTTGTCATCAGCAACACCTGAACCAACAGGAGCCATTTCAGGCTTTCTGCCTAACAGGACAATTAGGAAAGGAAGGTGCCCATCTTCATAAGTGGGCACCTGGATTTTAAACACCAATGCTAGCCTGTTCAACATCCCCATCCCAAGTTGCTTTTCTCAGTCCTCCTGCTTACTCAGGAAGCCATCTCCAGCCGGAAAATACTTTCACACCAGAAATTAGGTCCTGGTGTGTAGAGCTCGCAATCACTAGACTAGTTCGTGACTTCAAAATACAAACTAGAAATAGATGGACACGGAAGGGGCTCATAATGGAGGGAACAGCCATGGATTAGGGCTGGGTGGGCGGGAGGTGAACTAGATGATCAGGTGTTTTTTAGTCCTGGGTGCCGGGGGTTCAATTAAAAGCTCAGCTACTGAGGGCAAGAGGACAAGCAGGGTTTTAGTGAGTTCTTGCCGTCATCTGGATTCCTTCAAAAGCAGACCCTGCAAGCTTTCCTGTGCAAGTAGTTTATCTGGGAAGTGATCCGGGAAACAGAGGGAAGGAGTAGGAATGGGAAACAGGGAGGAGATGGAGATGATGCCAGTGAATGAGCATGTTCCTCCTGGGGCAACTGGGGCTCAATCCCACCAGGGACCCCGAGACTGTAAAACACACCTCACATTCACCCACCAAAGGCAAGGAAGGTGGGACGTTTATCCTTATAAATTGAGGGTCACTCCCCAGGGCCCATTCCCGAGAACGCCTGCAGGCAGAGAGGCTAAGGAGGCTGTGGGCCTGGCCCGAGCTGTCCGCAGGTGACCCCAGCATGGGCCACAGCACCACTCGCCACAGCCTGCTACAGTCAAGCACAAATGCAAATGAATTAAGAAGAGAGAGAAAAAAAAAAAAATCACAAACTTTGCATGGGAGAAGTAGGTGGGGAATTTGGAAGTGGCCAAAGTCCAGAACTACACGGTAACACATGATCACACAGAATGAACGAACTCCCACTCAATGGCAAGACAAAAACACAACTTTCCCAAACACGTCATGAAGCTGTAAAAGGGGAAGGCCAAAGGGGAAGCGAGAATGCCAGGGGTGTATTGGAGGAAGACAGAGACCTTCAGAAAAGGTAGATGGTGCTCACAGCTCTCCTGGCTTGATCCTCCCCAAGGGCCAGACTGAAGCCAGAGACAGAAATAAATTTCTAAGGAAAAGGAAACAGCGTTGGAACCAAGAGTCTCCAAAGTATCAGCAGCAATGAAATATTGGGAGAAACCTGATTGCAGATGCGTAACCCTTGTACACTCCTCCGTCCCGTCGTCTCCTTGGCCCCAGTCCTTTCTCTCCTCACGTGGAAACCAGCCAAGAGAAACTGTCCAAAAGCGATGCCCTTTGATGTTCTAATATTTTGATTCTCCAACACATATCCTCACGTGAGCAAGCACCAAGGATTCTAAAAAGAAGCCCCATGTTTGTTCAAATCTTCTCAGCTGCTCTGTGACTCTGCCATGACCCGAGCTGGAAGAGTTTTCCAGACATGGGGCAAAAAAGTCCCCAGGGGGAAGGGAAGACATTGTTTCTGAGACGTTCTGGGAATGGCTGAAGGGCTGCACTGGCAGAGCACCCAAGGAGCATCGGGACTTTCTTCTCGTCTCTCCCTTCGCCCACCTTGTCTCATTTTGATCCCTCCTGTTGCAATCGTGTTCGCTAAGTTGACCTAAGCCGACCAGAGGAGAAAGCGAGGGCAGGCCAAGGGGGCATGGTGCCCAAGGGTGGGGGTGGCTGAGTGCTGCCGGCCTGAGGGCCTGGTCCATTCAGGCCTTGCCAGGCTACTAGGGAGTGGGAGCAAAGAGGCAGGTGTCCAGCCCTGAGGTCTGTGCCTGGGCATGGGGACTCAGGCACAGGATGGAAGGCTGCAGTTTGCCTGCAGGTGGGGTCCCAGAGAGGCTCCGTCTCAAGGGTAGGCAGGGTCTGGCTGGCCCTGCTGTCCCAGGAGACCTCTGGTCTGGAGAGAAGAAAGAGTTTACAGCCTGGCTGAAAATCTGGGACTCCAAAGGCTAGCTGGGGGAGGAGGAGGCAGCTGGTCATTAGCTGCACTGGAAGGAACAAGTGGGTATCATACTTGGCTGGGCAGCCCAAGCTGGGTGGGGACTGCAGGCTGCTGAGGTCATGGGCAGAAGGGACTAAGCAGAAAGGTTTGCATTGGCAAGACAGGCAGTGGGCACCATGGTGGCAAAGCAGGGCAGGAGGGTAGAAGGACCCCAGGCTGCTCCATCCAGAGGTCTGAATCTGGGCAAGGCTGCTCAAGCTTCAATCAGGCTTGGGTACTAACAGCAGGGCACCTCTGGGCCACCGTGAGGCCCACTTGCCAGGGCAGCAGGGAAAAGCAAAGTGCAGGGACCACTGCATGCACAACAATCCACGGGAATCCACTGGTAAGGATGACAGCAGCCACAGGCACGTGTCCCACATTTACAAGGGCCTTTCACCTTCACCATCACATGTGACTCTCCAACGTCGATGGGAGGGGCGGCACTGGTTCTGTGCCCAGAAGCGTTAAGTGGGTCCCCCAGAGATCACAAGCCAGTAAGTGGCACAGCCAAGAGTCTTTCAAACCCCAAACTCTGGGTTCTTTCCCAAATCTAACAAGAAGCTAATTTTATCAGGACACAGAAGGCAGGGGCTGAGGACCACGGGCGGGAGCTCAATAGCTGTGTGTTAATGGACTGAATAAAAGGCCAGAAAGATGGCAGCAGGTGGCGGGCCTGGGAGGGGGCCACATTATGGGGTCCAACTATCCCAAGGGTGTGGGGAGGGAAGGTGCCCTCACATCAGGTAGGCCCAACCCTCGGGTTTTAGCCATTCACAATGAGCTGGCAGCCAGGGAGGGGTACTGGATACAATCCTCTTAGCCAGAAATCATTGGCATCACAGGCTCGGGTTTCTGCTGACACTTCTAAGCGTTTTAAGTGAGGAGGTGTGGGGTAGGAAGGGCAGTGCTTGGAAGACTTCTTATTTTGGTGACAGTGAGAATGATTAGAATTTTTGTGAACCTGTCTAGGCTCCTCGTTTCTCTGATGAAGTTGTAGCAAAGGAGATTCTGAGGCTCTCTCTGCACAGGCTCCAGTGATCACTGCACAGCATGGACCTCCAACCAAAAGGAAATTCCCCCAGACCAGGAAATAAAAGTCAGTGAGCAGGAAGAGGAACCTGCAGGGGCAATGAGGGCTGACGGCTGCCCGAGCCCACAGAGATGGGGAGGGGTGACCTGCCCCTGCTTCCGCACGGAGGATCCACTGCAAAGTCCTGTCTGAGCAGTCACTGCCTAGATTCCTCTCCCCAAGGCCTCCTATAAAGGAAATAAATTAACTGAGGAGAAGGAGGGAAGAGGAGGCGGATTCCCTCCGGATTTTTTTAATTGTCTTGCTGTGATTGCCTATTTAAGCCCACCTGGCAGAAGAGGAGTAAAAACACTTCACCCGCCTTAGGGGGCCCTGAGAGAAGGCAAGCTGGGAGCTGAGCACGCAGCGGGGAGGGGCGCCTGGGGGGCCTGTGTGTGCCTGTCAGGGAGTGGATGGTGAGCGGACTTCCCAGGAGAAAGATTAGGGAAGAGGCTGGGAGTCAGGTGAGGGTCACGACCAATGGGGACAGAGTCCGTGGACGTCCAGCCTTCAGGGAGGCCAAAGGCTGAGGCTGTGATAAAGAAATTTAACTGTATGGGGGTATGAAAGGTGACATTCCCTACCTGTGAAATGGACATAATAGTAGCATCTTCTGCCATAAAGCTGTTGTGAGGAGTGACATGACACAGAAGGACACAGATACACAGAATCGTGCATGTGGAGGGTGACTGCCATTGTGACCACTGGAAGGCTTATAAGTGAAATGATCCCTGAATGAAAAACCCAAGGGCTCCTTGATTCCACCAAAGGAGGGAAAAAGGGTAACAGTGAGCTGCCTAAACGTCAGGATCTGCAGCCTGAGCAGAGATGTGCAGAGACAGGCGATGTTTACCTGCCTAGGGAGACTGCGCAAAGGTGGCTTTCATCCCTCCTCTGGGCCTATCCTGGCAGAGTGGCAATTCTCATCCACTGGCGGGCTGACCACCTCCAGAAACACACGCACTCGCCCATTCCTCCCCAGCAAGCTCTGTTCCTCCAGGAGAGAACAGGGACATGGGTGATGGGATGGGGGCCAAGATGCTTTGGGTATCCATTTTTCTGGGTGTTCAGCTGTCAGGGGAGATTCTGGGTGAGGAAGATGAGTGGCCACAGGGTAGCAGGAAGGTCCTGGGCACCTGGAGAGGTTCCTAGGACAAGTCTCCCGGTGAGTAATGCTCTCACAGAAGGCAGGAAGTCTGGAAAGTCTTGGAGGAAGGTGGGCTCTGGAACACAGGAAGGATCTGAAAACTCCTGAGGAAGCCTCAGTAGTAACTGCCTCCTTTCTCAAAGCCAGGATTCCATGAGAGCGGATGTCGAGCATCAGGAACTACCGAGCCTGTGCCTCAGTAATAGCGGCTCATACTCACGAGTCAAGCAGCGCCAAGCGCTTTAAATGTACATCTTTTTTAACCTTTCCATAAGGAACTATCCTTCTATCCCCATTTTGCAGGGTGTGAAAACGAGGCATGGAAGGCAGGCTGGAAAGCTGATAGAGGCTAGATTCTTGAGACCGTGCTCCTCGCCTCTCCTCACTCCTGCCCTTTCTCCTGGGGGCCTCAGCCTGGCCTGACCCTCATCCTCCCACAGTCCTGGACCCGTATAGAAGGTCTTCAATGAGGCCCATCTTCCCGCTCAGGATTCGGAGCACACACATCCAGCCCAACCTTCACGAGAAGATGGAAGTTTCTGGATTGAGACCTAGGCGTTCACGCAGAGGACACACTGGGATTAAATGCACACTCAGCTACTCCATGAGGGCAACAGGCATCTGCCTCAAACAGCGAAAAACTGTACAAATGAAGGGCTCTATTCAGTGCATACTTCAGAAGGCTCAAGGCCTTGATTAAACAATAGGCTTGGCCGGGCGCGGTGGCTCAGGCCTGAAATCCCAGCACTTTGGGAGGCCGAGGCAGGCGGATCACGAGGTCAAGAGATCGAGACCATCCTGGCCAACATGGTGAAATCCTGTCTCTACTAAAAAATAAATAAGCTGGGCTTGGTGGTGTGTGCCTGTAGTCCCAGCTACTTGGGAGGCTGAGGCAAGAGAATTGCTTGATCCCAGGAGGCGGAGATTGCAGTGAGCCAAGATTGTGCCACTGCACTCCAGCCTGGCACCTGGTGACAGAGCAAGACTCTGTCTCAAAAAAAGAAAAAAACACAAAAATCACAATAGGCTTACTATATCACAGAACTGAGGCAGCAGCTCCCATATCTCACTCTAAATGAACTTTGCAAATAAACTCCTGGAATTAACCAGAACTTCTTGAGAAGAATTAATTTTCTTCTCAAGAAGTTCTGATGTAACAAAAGAAACTGTTTCTCCCCATTTTCCCTTCTCAAAACACCACCTGTTCATTGTCACTTGTAAGAGGCTAATTTCAAGAATTAGTAAATCAATGATAATAAGAATATTGACCAGGATGATCATTTAGAAAGCCCTCCTAAGCCCTGGGGGTCTTCCATCAGTCTTCATAGTTGTCTGCCTTCCAAAGGCTGGAAGGGGCCACATGGCTCATGTAAGTACCTTGCTCTCAGGAAATGACTAGATGCTAGATTTCCTGGACAAAGGGGAAATATGGATGGTAGATTTCCTGAAGAAAGTAAGAAAAAGGAAATACAGAGAAATGGAGGGAAACTTTGCTGCCTGTAAATCTTAAGGGGCTTGGTAATCTTGTTAGTCTATCACCCAGGAAAGACCAAGCAGAGGGGCATGAAGGGAAGGTGAGTGAGTCCACCTGGTTCCTATGTCCGATCTGCCTATTTCCAGCCTGGGGAACAAATTCTCTCTCTAAACCCCAGTTTGCTCAACTGTAAAATATCTTGCTTTAGGCAGGTATTTTAACAAGTGGAGTGTAGGTTCTCATTGGTGGCTGGCAGGCTGACACTTCCTGCGTGAAAGCTGGGTAATTCAAGGGCAATTTTGAGAGCACAGGGCATAAAAGAACTCACAGTCTAGAATCCACTTCAAATGTGACATTTTGGAGCAAACTGCAAGTCAATTTCATGTGGTTCTATCCTGCCCGGAAGTTATAACTGCAGTTAAGTAAACAGGTGGCCCAGATAACTGCTTGATAAAGTTTCTCCTGCTTGATGGACTGCTGCCTCTATACTCCAATTCCATTCCTTTTTCTCTGAGATACCATGGGGATTAATGAAAAGCTGTTAGCTGCTCTTTAAGTGGGTCAAAGCTCCCAGTGCTGACATACTTACTCCCTGAGAGTGGCTCTTCATGCACCTCCAAGGGGTCGCTGTCCAGTCCATCCAGTGTCTTGCTCACCCCCCGGGGTGAAAGTTCTCCACCGTCTCCCTCTCCAGAGGGTAAGATGGGCTGCTCCGTGATGGGCACCTCCCCTCTGGGGCCTGAGCTGGGCTCTGGGCTTTGGTTTCTCCCAGGTGGAGCACCGCACACGTCCCCAGCCCCCGGTTTCTCATTCTCCAGCGATGCGTGATCCCCGCGTGCGTTTTTTGCATCTCTGGCATCCTCGGTGCTGTTGGCAGTAGACACGGGAGCACTGCTGCCTGCCAAGTTCACAGGGGAATGGTACTGGGGTATAACACCAACGAATTTCAGACCCTGGCTTGCGGCCTCCTGGATCTGTGAGGCAAACAAAAGGAAGGGAAGCAAGTGAATGGAATGGTCTATCAAAGAGACACGTGCTGCGCGCAAAGCGCCTCCCTGAGGCCTGCAAGGCTATTTCAGGTGCACGTGAAGAATTCCAAGCTGGCAGGGCACCTGCCACAGTACTGTGGCCTGAAGAGGACAATTATTTATTATTTTTTTAAAACTATGTTGTCTGAAGGAATAATAAGTTATTTGCTCTGAAGGGTTGAAAGCACCACTTTGAAACACTGCATTAGTCCTTATTAACATTTTTTAAAGAGGTTGGAAAAAGTTCTAAACAAAGAGTTTGAAAGAGGAAGTTCATTTTGGTAAGAGTTTGTTTTTTTTGTTACTTTTCTTCGGATGAATCACTGACTTCCTGCCCATCAGGCTACTGTATAACTACAGCTTGTCTATAAAAGCATATACTAACAACAGATGGCATTTTATGACCCAGAGAGCTTCCTTTTTTGACAATAGTTCTGGCAGAGAAGGGCAGAGGTAGGGAAAATCAACCCCGTGCCAAGGCTGTGGGTACATCCTCCATGAGATGCGCCATCTGACGGATACCTTGCTCCCTGGTGCTCTCAGGCTTAGGGAAGGGGAAAGGAGCCCAGAGATCACGCCCAGCCCACAGCCACAGACTGACTCTTGCTCTCCAAGTCCTGGTCCACACCATCCAGCACAGATAGCCAGGTGATCGTTCCTTCTCACTCCCTGTACCAACGGGTGGGGGAATGAATACCCACCTGGAGAACTAAGGCACTTGAACTCTCCCTCTCCCTAAAAAATAGCCCAAGGCAATTGGATTGAGTGTAAGTCATAAGTCTGAAGGAAAAATGGAAAGTAATAACCTAATAAAATCAAACAAGAGCCAGCCAAAACCAGAAGATAGGCTTTAAGGGACTTTCCAGGCAAGGATGCTTAAGTCACTTTACAAATAAATAAGGCGGTGCAGAACTCAGAGCTGTCTAAGTCTTAGTCACCAAGCCCTAAGCAGATGACCTCAGAAAATCTGGAGGCCTCTGTAATGACAGTCTACCCTCATTTGAGAGTTAGTTTCACCAGCATGGAGTTATTCTCTCTAAAGGAGAAGCAGCCCTGACATTAAATGGAAACTCATTTTTGTTCCACAGGGCACATCCTAGAAAACTGCCGTTGCAAATGTGAAGCCCAGTCTTTCTTTAAATCCTAGCCTGTGCTGGGCATAAAAATAATCATAGCATTAGTTACTGCCTAGTATAGACATACTATGTCTAGGCATTGAGCTAGGCATTTTACATAAGTTAAAACAACAAAACGTTTAATCCTTCGACGACGCTGCATGGTATCGTTGTCTCCATTTCAGATGAGGACACTGGGGCCCAGAGACATTAAAAAGTTAGAAAGCAAGCAGTGAGTATCCAGAGTGCAAAACCAGGTCTGGACTGGCCAGGTTCATTCTTTTAATCACAAGACTCCCTGGACCCATCTCAAGGTATCAACTACATACATGTCTATGGATATGCATGTGCCCACTCATATGCCCAGAGCTGGCTCAATTCACTCCTCAACAGTTACAAAAACAAAACACAAAAAAGTCTTAAAGCCATGCATTCCATTCTGAAAATTTAGTTTTTCCCTCATTAATCTATGATATCCACCTATTTTAAAAATTATTGTATAAAGCTCCTGAAAGAATACACAGCAACACAAATTTTAAAAGAAAATAGCAGGGAGGTAACTCTACCAAAGAACTCTGGAGGCTGAGGAAAACCACTGCATGCAAAGCATACCTGGGAGCTTCCTGGCAACATAGGCCAAAAGAGGTGTGCAGTGGGTTTGACAGCCCTCAGATGAAATGAGGAGACCTCTGCACTAGCTTCTGCCGTGCTGTCTTACTGCGGAGGAAACAGCTATGACTACTGAAGCATTTTAATGACTGCTTCCATGGAGGACTCCACCACAGGCCAGTCTCAACGAGAGTCATAGAAAGAGCATGAAGTCTAAAGGCTTTTGAAAAGGCCTGATGCGGAGCCCCCGATGTGTGACTCACCATCTTGGGGAACCAGAGTAGATTATATGAACTTTCTGTGCCTCAGCGTTCTCATGTATGAAATGAGTGAAAACACACTTATTTTGCAGTTGCACTGAAGCTTAATTTAGACGTTACCTATGGCAAGTACGCCAAAGGATGGGGCACAAAGATGGGATCTCTAACCTCTCTGCTTATCAGTCCCGGGCTTCTGTGGTCCTGCAGAGACCGCTGAGTCATCTAGAGTGAAGCAATGAGGACTCCAGACCCAGGGCATTGTCCTAGCTCTCCCCTTCCTTACTGGGACTGGAAGAATTGGAGAGACTTGGACACAGACATCTGCCCTTCTCCCACAACAAACTGGACAACCATATTCCTTTGCCATATTGTACTGCAAATCTGTCCTCTAGGCCAGGGGTTCTCAAAGCGTGGTCCCCAGACAAAAGCATCAGCATCCCCTGGTGACCTGCTGGAAATGCAAATTCTCAGGCCCTACCACAAACCTATTGAGTCAGAAGCTCTGAGGGTGGGATCCAGCAATCTGTGTTTTAACAAGCCTTCCAAAGGTTCCAATACAGCCTGATATTTGAGAATCACTGCTCTAGAATACACATTTCATAAGGGCTGGGATATTCTGCACTGTTGCATTCCCAGTAATAGAATGATGCCTGACAGATAGCAGGTCCTCAATAAATATCTGTTGAATGAATGAATATATTAAATAATGTTTGAATATATATGTCTTCTCTCCCAAAATGAGCTCCTACAGGTAGGGATGAAGACATTAATTTAACAACTCTATAATTCAACAAACGTTTAATAAGCCCCTACACTGGCCCAGACCAACACAGTACTTAGGTACCGGGAATATAAAATAGGATCCCTAACCCTCAAGAACATTTGGTCAATTATTTAAAAATAATTTAAAAATAATTACACTATCATGGAACAATTAATGACATGTAAAAAGTCAAGATCCTAAACTTCATAGACTTTATTATGACAGCTATGTAAAACACATATATAAACTATGCATGGAAACAGTCTCCAAAATAAGAACAACACTGTATTTGGGGAGAGGAGCTATGAGTGATTTTTTTCTATTACTGTGTAATTTTCAAAATTTACCTAAGGGGCATGGATGTTACTTTTAGAATTGAAAAGGTAAAAATTGAAATTGTAAAAATTCCTCACAGAGGATAATATAGTAATGGATGTAAAGGTACGGAAATGACAGTGGCAACAGGGATTATTTCTGCCTGAAGGGGAGGTTGAGAAAAGTTTCTCAGAGTAGATCAGGGATGTCACACATGACGTGGTAGAACACAAAAGGAAGAGTGAGAAATGTGGCGGAAATGGAGGATGTATGCCTCACCTTAAAACATTCAAATCCATTTCTTTTTCAAAATGCCATGCTAGACAAAACCTATTTGGGGCCGACTCTGCAGAAGGCTTTGAAGGATGAGTCCGAGTTAACCAGACATGTAAAGGAAAAGGAAAAAGGAGAGGGCAATCCATGTAAAGGCAAGGAAGGATCATGATGGGCAAAAGCTTGACAGTATGCAACAGCCTGGGGAGTTGAGGAAATTTCTAGAAATATTTATGGAACACGACATGAGAAAATAAGGTGAGCCCAGAAATGAGGCTTGACTGGACGTCACAAGGACAGGATCACATATGGCCATGGATCCATGCCCACAAAGCCTCCGACTTCACCCTGCAGGTCAGCATACCCGACTCTCCCACGCAGTCAAAACCTCAAGAGCAAAACCTCAAGGAGAGTGGGAGTCTGAGGGAAAACTGCAAGATTTCTTTGAATGCTCATCTTTTACCCTCAACTTCAGGGCAAATTTTGTATCTTACAGCATAGTGCTGCCTTGGATCAAAACCTTTAAAAAGATGTCAAAGTTAAACGCTGCCCTTATCCCATGCGTTCCAGGGAAATTCACACCCCCAAGAAGAGGAGGCATATTTGTAGCTCTACTTTTTCCGTCAAATAGATTCATGGAAGTGAAAATAATGTGTGAAGTGATATTAACTTTTCAAAGGCCTGGTAGAGTCTGCCAAATTGTTTACCAGAAAGGGTGAGTGATCCTTTTAACTAAAAGACCACATTTAGATTTGAAGAAGATCAATATTTGGCTAGACCTAGGGACCACGACACTTACGGTTCTGTCTTACCCTGGTATAGGCGCTTTCCTCTTTTTCATCAAGTCATTTGACAGTGTACCGAGGGCTAAATTAAATCCTGCTTCCCATTCATGGATTTATAACCTTCGCTGAGCCAGTCACACATTCATCATGGTGGTAGGCATGCGATGTGTTCATCAGGGTGCATCCCCAGTCACCAGCTCTCCTCCACTCTACCCTCCCCTGATGACTTCCTCCACTCACATCGGTTTAGCCACAAATCAGATGTGAATTCTACCCAAGTGTGAACCCCTAGCCCTGGCTTTCCTTGGAAGTTCAGACCTACACAGTAGACGATCACAGCTGTTGGGTCCACTGTCGATCTGGTCTCTCCAGCTGGAATCACAGTATCTTCTTCCCTTTCTCCAATCCTGTGTATCCGTTCACCACACCCTGCCACATTTATCCCCCAGTGTTTTTAGAATTACTTCCTCATTCTCCATAAAGTGACTCTATCCAAGGTCACTTTACGTCAAGCCCTCATTATCTGTTGCTGGACATCACCATGACCTCAGGCTCTGCCACGGTCTTCATGAGCATGGAACCAAATCAGCATGGAAGAACAGACCACAAGGAGCCAGGTCACCTCCGCCATGGAGTTCCCCACGGGCTCGCACACATGCCCACAACATCTCTAACAACTGCGATGACAGGACACATCAACTGTTAACGTTGCACAACTCTTCTACGAAGAACTTCCTTGTGCATTTTCATAGGCCGCAAAATCTTACCTTAAGGAAGAGGAAACTGCTTAAGAGAAGATTATGTGACTAGTCAAACCTCACAGAGC